AGGAAACATGAAGGTTGGAAAGATTCCTCAGTGGGAAAGGGGTGGACTAGACTGCATTCAGCATAGGAAAGAATGAAGTACTGAATGAGGTGGCAGAGTTAATATATGCTAAGCTAAAGAAAAAAAACCCAAACAAAAACACAAACCCAACACTTCAATAGTTTTACATTCCTAACTTGTAAACCCTGTCTGACTTTGATCCAATATACAAAGCACTGGTATGAACTGTAACTGTAGACTCTAGTGATTTATGGCATCAGATATAGCAGCAGAGCAGAAAGGTAAAAAAAACCAAGAACCAACCCACCCCTTACAATAGCCAGACATACAAGGCTTTTCTTTCAAATGCAATGTTAGGAACAAAATCGGTTAAATATAATTAAATCTGCACTAAATAAGGCATTATATTATGGAATAAAGGTCAAACACTACATTTGTAAGGAGGTACATGACACTGTGATAGATCTGTTCCCATCTCTTTGTCCTATGATGCCACAATATAGTAAATAATGCCCTTTCAGAATTCATTGACCTTTTGCATAATAAATGTGGGTAGAAAACTGCAACAATACATCTGGAATTTTTCTACAGATGGTTCTATTCACTTAATATCTGACTGACACATGAAGGTGCTTGGCGCAGTGAAGCCAGTAAATACTGTTTTTAACATTTTTACTTTATAATATGATATCAGAAAAGCTAACAGTGATTAGTGTATTGTAAATTAATTTTTACACTGTAAGTTAATATATGCTGTGGCTCTAGGCAGCTTTGCTCTTTCATGATCTCTCTATGGTACCATCATACCAGGATACTTGGATACACACGTAAGCAAACCTTAGTATTTATAAACATCATCCCATTTTGAAGGACAAGCAAGGCAGTAAGCGTGTTCCATAACCAGGCTGATTGGGAAACACAGTTAAAGTCCTGTCTGCTCTACAAATTGAAACCACGTTTTTAACTGGGTTAGTGAAAAATCCTGTGATGTAACCAGATTCTGAAACAATTACATTTATAGTATAGACAGGGCCTCTGCTACTTTGCATGTCTGAGTAAGAATTTGAGGATATATTACAGGATATTGCAATGTCTGTATTTCTGAATTCTAAATAGGCCAAATCCCTTTTATTGTTCAGCTGTAAAGAAAAATAGGGAAGGAAAAAAGGGAAGAATTGGAGGTATAACGGACACCAGCAATGACTAAACAAGGCATTTCACAGGGTAGAGCATAAAGAGGAAGGCAATGAGCAAGGTCCAAATAATTCTAAGTTTAACCTCAGAGGCATACGATTTGTAGGCCCAACCATCTTCCTAATACACTTGACATCAAGCAACAAGCAATCCTCCAGACTGACATTTTTGCCCAGGCCAAAGGCATGAGGAAACACATACTGAATGCTGACCTTGTGCATTTTCAGCTTCAGTGAAGATCTGATATAGCTCGTAAGTATTCTTGGAGTGTGCAAGGCTATTTGAATTTTGGAAATTTAATACCAAATGCAAAGCACACTCCAGCATATAACAAAGTAAACACTTGTAGCAGCGCAGAGTGGTTATTTTGGAAATGCAATCAACTTGATTACCTGGGAGGCAATAGGAACAAGAGACTGAAGTGAATGTAGCAAACTAGAGACAGATAAAGCAAAACCAATGGTTCAACAGATTAAGAATTAAATAGCATGATCATTGCTAATGCCATTTTAAGATAAGTAAGGACACAGCACTTTTACTCTGGGAACTCCAACTGTGGTACAGATTATCTTAAATGCACTTTCCGTTAGTGATTGCAAAGAAGAATATAGATGGCTTATGATGCCACTGGATCATGTGATTAATATCCACTTTTTTCTAGAAGCTGCAATATCTTGTCTTCAAAATAAAAAATTCCAATTTAACCCTCCACCACCATTAGATTATAGATGTTAGATTGCTGTCAAGAAAAGTTTCAGAATACAAATCCAAGACAATGCACATATGCTGTAATATGATGTTTTAAAATAAAACACTGAAAAGAGATTTTTTAAAAATCCACAAAAAGTGATTTAAACCATCTTGCTCCTGTTAGATAATAACAACGTGTGCTGTAGGAACATGAAAAGCAGAAAGTAAACTTATAGAAACACTAAAGCAAAACACATCTGCAACAAGAGCACGTCTTACCATAGCACTATAGTTTTTTAGAGAACAGAAGGTTTGTACCAGAAGTATCCATAAAAAAGTAAACCTCACAACACATTTACCTTTTCAATATCTTCACCACTATCATTCTGTCCATTTCCATAAAGTTGGGCATAAAGTCTCCAGATCTCCCCATCATTTGTCACTCGTGAAGTCACTCTGCCCAGGAGCTCTTGCAATTTCCCCTTCAATCCACTTGCCACCTCTCCAGCGCGATCTTCCACACCATCCACTACTGTTCTGACCAGAATAGCCAGCACCTTAAGAAACCAGCAGGAAAGAGTTTTTATTTCAGCTCAAATCAACATCAGTGTATATAGTGATACTTGTAATATTTGGTCTCTATTAATGATTCAGTAAAATGCAAATACAGTACCATATGACAAGTAGAGAATTTACTAAGAAATACATTATTAGGGGAGTAATTCAACTAATTTAAACCTCATCTGTACAATACTATGGTTGGTGAAGACAGAGGCCAAACAGCTAAGACAGAAATTTGTCTAACTGGGACAGGGTAGTGTGAAGAAGAGTGGTATAGGAAATTGTGGCAATATCCTAAAAATATTTTCACTTTATAATACAGTTATGAAAAGATCAGTAAAGAAGCTGAACCAGATTAATCCAAGGAGTGGAAGGCACTGTTGTTTACAGGACCTCTATTTAACTACCTGTAAAAATTGAAATGGAAATTGGAATACCACTTTGGGAAACTGTGTTTAATGCACTTCTGGTGAATTACTAGACAAGTCAGTTCAATCAAAGTTTTTACAAGTGTTTATTTAATGGCTGTACTTTCTGAGTCACTGGCTTGAGAATATGGGATCTGACCTGCAGAAATGCTGAGTTCGTGCAGCTGCCGGTGAACTCAATGGGAGCTGGGCTTTGCATGTATGAAATGCTATGTAATACCAAGTGTCCTTGAAAAAAACGTGAGTCTTCGTGTCCCAAACTAAACACTGAAAATTAGAAAGGAGTTATGCTGTGCCTCAGTTCCTTCTCCATAAAAAGAGAAACACCATATGTAAGTTAAGACATTGGATCATATGGTGAATTAGAAGAAAGTAAAATCCAGAAATACTGTGGCTTATTACTGAGAACTACCTGCTCTGTGTAGTGCATGAGACACTGAGACTGGGGAAGAAATAACGATAAAAAACAAAATGGAAGTCTCATAGGGCTTCCATTCAAGCTAGGCTGGCAAAGGGAATACAAACACCTTCATGCTGGTACTGCCTAACTTGCAAGTTATCATTTGGCAACTTTAATGCTTCAACATTTTTGTCCGTATGATATTAATACTTACAATAAAATCACATTAATAGCAATACTAATATCAAGACAGTAATAAGACCAATTTCAAAGATGATCTGTGAATAGCCCCAAACCACACAAATATACCACCACTCTAGTAAAAGAAAGACAGTGGTGCATCCTCACAAACCAAGATGTAGTTCACTGGCAGAAAGTAATGCAAAAATTATGACAGTATCAAAGTGTATTACACTTAAATAAAAATATATGCAGTTTAGTATGTGTGATTTTATTTTCCTAAAACAACGTTTTTTCTATAGAATAACTCAATTGACATGCATCCCAAGAATTCATTACTGAGTTTTATCAGATATAGGAAATCTTTGGCAAAACAACCCAAATAAATCAAAATGGCTGATGATGTTATGAAACAAATCTATGTAACAGAAAGTGTAAAAAATTATATATCTTTTCAGAATCAATAGGAAATCACAGTAGCATCTGAACATCAGCTAAATAGTTCCCTCCTCCTCCCCCCCAAAGTGTTAACAGTATAGCCCTTATAAAATGATATGACATACTGGCTGTTCTTTCTTTTCTGTTAAAGAGCTTGGATTTTCACTTAAGATAACAGAAAATATGAGCAACTATTAATAGTCCAAAAGTTCTGAAATTCGTATTACATCCATGATTTGGAATCTAAGGGACAAAACCCCCATCATTGAATGAATCAGGTCTTCTATAATGATTTGCTAGAAAAACATCAGCAAGTATTGATATTGCCATTACTACAGCATTATAATAAAAATCATAAGAGAGGTGTAAGAAGATACATTAAGCTACGTTCTCTTTTGGAAAGGAACTAGAACTGGTCAGAAGGATTCATACATACAAGTATGACTTCTCTATCACTTTCTCAGTTTAACAAAATTGTTACTCAGAAATCCAAAAAGTTAGTTAGCATGAATATCATGTCTGGTTATCCAAAGTTTTAAAGCTAATGCTGTTTAGTTTGCACATGAACAAAGAAAGTTTCCTCAGTCAGTAGAATTTAGCAACTGAAAAATTACCTATATTCCCATAGAGTTCAGGCTTTGCTTATACTTTCATCATAATAATCTATCTCCTTTTTCAGTAATTCATCATGTAAGCTTTAGCAATACAGTAGTTAAAATAAAACTAGTGTGAAGGCTGGGATTAAAGGGTCCATTAAACAGTAATGAATCATTAACGCTATTCGGCTGTGCCCAGTTGTTAAATAAAGCTCTTTCAAATTGCAAGTGAATTGTGCTAATCATCAAAAAGCATTAGCAGTGTAACAGCTTTCAATTTTAGATGGTTGTCTTAAGTGTTAAATTTTAATTTAGATCTCCCAAGAGATTTTAAACTGCCATACATAAAGCAATGCTCTGCTGCCCAGGGTCCTACACAAGCAGCAGAATTGCCTCGATTGGAAAAGACCTAAAATAACATCAAGTCGAATCGTTAACCTAGCACTGACAAATCCCCTAAACCATGACTAAACCATGTCCCTCAGCACTATATCAAGACGACTCTTAAATAATGCAAGGGACTCAACCACTGCCCTGGGCAACCCATTCCAACACCTGATAACCCTTTCAGTAAAGAAGTTCTTCCTAATATCCAATCTAAACTTCCCTTGGCGCAACTTGAGGCCATTTCCTCTCATCCTGTCACTTGCTACTTGGGAGAGGAGACCGTCCCCCACCTCTCTACACTCTCCCTTCAGGTAGCTGTAGAGAGCAACAAGGTCTCCCCTCAGCCTCCTTTTCTCCAGAGAAAGGAGCTATTGGATCCAAAATGACAAATCTGCAGTCTATGAGCAATCCTTATGCCCCTCCCAAATGAAAGTTTTACAATGAAGACAACTGCCATTAGTGAGCTACTCGAAAGAAACAGAGCTCTGGGAACTAGTAATTTCTACCCTTGCTCCTCAAAATCCCCTTGGAACATGCTCTTGCAGCCTCTTATTACAAACAGTCTGGCAATACAGACTGCTGAAATGAGGATGATATTTGATGGAAAGGGTAACTGAAAAACTTTGCTAGATTCTCCAGAACACAGAACTGCACAGAGGAGCCATTTTTCCATACTTCTGAATTCATATTCTTTGACAGCACAGGATGAAGATCTGGTTTCTGAGAGTAGTGTGGCAAAACAGCTTTTCCACCAATAAAATAACTTTGTTATTCACAGAACTGCAGCTTTCCAAGTAAAAAAGATCGTTTGCCTCCACAAGCATGCATGTGGTGCAAAGCAGTACAATTAGGAGTTGCAGAAACCTTTCAGGTATATTTACCACCTCAGATTAATAATTCAGAGACTAAACTGATGATTACAACAGGTAAGGCTTTCTTCTCAGGTCCTTTCTAGTGGCTGATCTACTAGCTGAAACTACAGTCAATTCAGCAAGCCATTATCTTTTATTAGATAACACCTATATTAAATGTTTTCAAGGTATATTTCTCAGTAGGTTCATGAACATCAAAAGGAAAAGGGAAATTTGAAAATTTTAAGAACTAGTAAGGAGGGGAGGTAAGAAAGCATGCTTATAACATTTAAGAGGAATACTGGGAAACTGAAACTTTTGAAAGTATGTCATTTGCTGTAATCTTTTATTGCATTGTCGCTCATTTAAAAAAAGCCCTTCAGTTTTTCCTTGTTCAATTCTGTCTGCAGAATCTGTATATACATATCTTCAAGCCTCATGATATCCTGATCTCAGAACCTTTGCCACAAGGATGACATCGTTAAATAACTAGAATAGCTCAGAAGCAAAATTTCCCAAAGCTGCATTCTGTACTCAGAAGTCTGTCACAAAAAGACAGCAATGGCCTAACAGAAATCACAGATGAAGATATGAATGCCTTACTGTTATTTACAAATATGACTTCATACTATGCTGACATAAAATAATTTGATGTAACTACACAAACCAAGGACATTTCAAATTATATATTCAATTGCACACTCTTAATTGACGCATTCAGTCTCACAAGAGGTATTCTGCAACAAAGATTATGCTAAAAGCGATTGGCTTTCTGTTTTCATAGAGAACTGGAATTAATGATTCCAAATTATTTCTTCCAGTCCAATGGATATTTATATTTCTGGATTTTTAAATTCCTACCTTCTTTCTCACCACTATGTCATCTATTTTAGTAATCTATCAATTAAAATCTATGATGACTATAAATACTAAATACAAGCTGAGAGAAGATCATACTATGTTGCATGGGAACAGAGGTGTATGCTTCCACTTACTCACGTTTGATGATTTCACTTTTCAAAAATACAATTGCACAAGAGGGTTATAGAGCACCTCTATTTAAAACAGACCAGTTGGCAAATGGGAGAGGCTCAAAAATTAATGGTGAGCTTTGCAAACAATCTCAGCAGAAGCTTTTAGCTTTATGTGCTTTTTTGTTTTGCTATGGGAATACTCTTCCTCGTAAGATTAAAGCCTTTCTAAAAGTCTTCAATCAGTCTCTGAGGTTTTTATTAGTCAACTAGGAAAATCCTTCTAATTGAGGAAACCGTATTAGAAGTTATGATGAAACCCATAAAGCACTTTACATATCAGAAGTCAAAGTTAAAATTAGGATGAAAAGAAAATTAGGATATATAGCATATAAATACTTCTGTAAAAATGATAAAAGTTGTATGAGAACAAGATGAAAAAAGTTATAGAAGAAAAATACAAATTTAGTGCAAGCAATATCCCCAAATATTTTAATAAAATATCCTCTATAAAATCTGACAAAACACACTAATAGGAGTCTATCATCTCAAAATATCTAAAATGGACAAATAATGTAGAAAGTTCTATTTCTGGTCAGCAGTCAATCTGACTAAAATAATACAGTAGACCACCCGTGAAAATGTTATTTAAATTAACAATTGAGAAAAAAATATTTTAAAAAGCCAACCATGTACAAGACATTCCCTGAATAAACACATAGGCCCCACCAGTACCACAATACTGGAGCTGCCAAACACACTAATCTTTACCATATATAAGATTATTTTCCATAGACACTTATGAGTGCAAAGAGAATTTGAGACCTTTTAAAGTTCTGCCACATGAAACCCAAAAGATTTTATTCATACAGAATATTATCCTCAGCATGGTTGGCTTTATGGTAGTATGTACTGTACTCATATACAATTTGTTATTAAAAAGTAATCTGAAAAAAGTTTTTAACATCCCCGCCCCCCTGTGAACAAATTAGATGTTTCCACAGCCATAATTAATTCTATCTGTTCTCTCTCCTCATCGTTGGATTCAAACTCCCAAAATCCAGGAAAGCTACTTCTAATCATTTTATGCGATAAGAAAATAAACATAATCATGGTGTCAATGACCAGCAGCAGCTGGGTCCTCTTACCTTGGTACTACACACAAACTCCTTAAGAGCTCATAAGCTCTTAAATCAGATCCATTAATTTTGCAAAAGTTTTTGGAAGTTTTTCACTAATCTGCTTAAGGGATTCTTTGGCTTGCCTTTCAGATTTACCTTGCTGTTTTCACTGAGTGTACAGAACTCTGCTTGGATCAGGACCTGGTTTTAGGCAAGGTAACACCCTGGCTGACACTGTAAAAGTAGGCTCTCTGGATTTTGTCAGAGCATACATTTACAAACATAGAAGTTAACTGAACTTAACATGAACTACAGTGAAAGATGAGCAAAATATCTCCTTTATTTTAATTTGTTATTAAGAATCAAGGTTCTGACTGTAACATATTTAATCTGTGAAACAATTCACTTTCAAAGGCTCATTTGTGGATTTTTCAAACACATGGGAAAAGCTTACCTTTTTTAAACTAAATTATTTATTATTTTTTCTGATACTGACATATGCAGGAACAATATGGAAAGATGGGGTTATGCATTGTGTTTTATTTAAGAATGGACGTTAAAACTGCAAGACTCATATTTGTCCTTCCACAAAGTCTGAGGCAATCTGGCTGCAAAGTTTCCTTTTTTTTTTAAACAGTCTTACAGTCGAGATCTCAATAAAAGGCTTGCCTACATAACTTCACTGGTATGTATACTATCATAACTGACACCATTATCAGCAGAAATCTCTGTCTTACAAGAAAAATTAATGAACATATAGAATGACTTAATATGAAAACTTCCCCACCTGTGTATCATTGTACTTTTCTCTTAAGTCCATGAGCCGGTGATAAGCTTTAATTGCTTCTGAAAACTCTCCAACATCTGTACTGGTGAGAAGATAGTTCTCCCATATTTGCCAGTGCTCATAGTTGCACTTGAGAGCTTCTTGGAGGGTTCGAAATGCTTTGATTCTAATCAATAATAACAAAGAAGAATAGAGAAGAAGATACTATATTAAAGATTTAATATATAAGATTTCTATATTAAAATCAGTTGGCATTGTATCAACTAAAAAGCTGCTTATTTAAAAATTCAGGTTTAGAAAACAGCGCAATGTAAAAGTTACTGTTCATAATTTACAATAATGATAATTCCTTACTCTCTCTTGACAATTACTTTCTATCGGTTCACTCCACAGCACACTCTGTAGAGTCTGAACTAGGTAATTTCTGTGTTAGCTCTCAAGTACATTTTCAGAAAAAATCATTATAATAGTGCCATCTATGTTAATATTTTATTTTTTGAATTTTTAACTGGAACCATAAGAAAACAATCGGACTCATACTGCAGTTGTACCACATTACAAAATTAAAATCATTGAGTTCATGGCAGATGCAGGATTATATTGACCCATTTCATCACACTAAGGAAGGTTACTTAACAATAACAGCTTTTTGTGATTTATTTTAAACATTTGCACATGGTAAACGTGTATACCCATTGCCCAGCATTTTCAATCATTTTTTTCTCACATCATCTGGAATCTTTATTATGCTCTGTTCCCTGATGTTATGCTGCTCAGTACTAATGTGTGAGAGTGGCCCCAAATACTGTTAGGGTCCTTCACCAAAGGTGCTGCCCAGGGAACCATCTCATAGTGGCAGGAAAAAATGTTGTGGAATAAAGGTGGACTGAATAATTCCTTTAAAGTCACTGTCAAGTCAAGAAGCATCTTTATTTTTTCATGTGGATCCACTGCAGGCAACTCTTTACCATTCCCTTACTCAAGGAGAAAAGTAATGGCATTCTGTGGTAAGAAACAAGACAATTTGGCCAAATCAAGACTATTGGCTGAAAGCAGCTGACCTACAGTTGACAGAGGTATGATCTCCTGCACAACATGCAACCAATGCTGCCAGAGAGGAGGCAGAAGGAGTAAGAAGTCTTAATGCAATCTGAAGCCTATGTTGGTAAGGTCTGGGTGCCTACTGTTTAAAGCTTTAAACATACAGCTAGAAGTTTCAATAAATTTGAAATGTTAAAAAAAGCTTTGCTAGAGAATCAGAATGATATGGTTCTTGGGACTTTAAGAGATTGCAGCTTACTCTCAGCTGGACAGTCATGATATGTAGAAAAAACAGAAAGGAATAAATTCCTTCAAATGAAAACCTGAAACAGAGTTTTCCCAGGCTCAGAAAAATCTTCTTTGGGGAAGTATGACAATAAATCTCTTCTTAATAAAGATCATATAAAGATGGCTTGTTATCAAAATTTGCAGTTCACTTGCTCTATTGCTTAAGTTGCTAAAAGTGCAGTCTCTAAAGAAAAGACAGCTCAAATAAATTGTTGGTTGAGTTTCAGAAAGAGGGTCCAGGAGAGTGTAAATACCTAACTAGTGGATCGGGCCATTAAAAGTTTGGAATGGCTGGCTCAGGGAAAAATGTAAACAACTGCCAATCTAAGCCCATAGTATTAAAAGAGCTACCAAACACATGCAAAGAGAGCTGACTGACAGAGCAAAACTATTGAAGGAAAAGAGGTCATTTGGCATAGCTACAGCAGAACAGTCCACAGGCAGGATCTTTCCATGTTCACTCCCCTTTTCTCTCTCTTCTGATATATGTGATACTGCCGAGTAAAGGTACTAACAGTTGGGTCTCCTCCACTGTTAACAGTCTTAGTAAGGGATTTCAGACCGTGATTTTGATAGATTACATTATAAAAAAAAAACAGAGACCTGCTCCTTCCCCTGTGGATTTTGCTACAATGGAAGCTGGGATCTGCCAAAGCTCTCTGACAGGCTGAAAGACACCCTGGCTGACTGATGT